AACGAAAATCGGCTATTTTTATTTTTGCATTCAAAGAGCTTCGTTAATGTAAAGCGTCGAGAAAATGGTTCGCCGTTCATGTCGTGCAGTAAAACGCATTCGATTTTCAGTGCGGACTCTGTAATCTAGAGAGAACATACACGCTACTGTTTTATCATTAAGAACAGTTACAGTAATTTATATTCGCATATCACGAACAGTTATTAAAGTGGTACCGACATGGTGATCTGTTCTAATGATAGTGGCCGTGAGAAGATAATTTTGCATTATTTCTTTATTCGGAAAAGAGCAAGCCATAGAGAAATACGTGATTTAAGCCTGATTTAAGCCAAATGTTTTAAACATTGCATTTATTGATTACACGGAGGATGTGCTTAAAATGTATTTTGATTTAGTACAGTCAGATCGTGTTATCTTCTGTTTTCGTATGTGAAGTATGCCAGATAATACAAAGAAAATATTCTCCAAATGATTATTAAGCTCTGCCCTTTTTCTAATCATTGAATAGCATTGATACGAATTGGTTTAAATTTTTTGTTGCTTTTTAAATCGATGTTACTTTCCTTTGCGTTATAACTAAACATTAAAAAAACATGTAGAATGAATTCAATAGTCGAATTTGCTAAGTAAATGCCTGGGATTATCTTAGCGTTTTCTAAAAAAAGTATTTACAAAGCATGTAAATCAAGGACAAGATAAGAGAGAGACAGATGTGCAAGAGTAAAAGAATTTAGCAAATAATTCACCACTTAATATTTAATAATAAACTTGCGCGATATTGAAAACTAGATTTGTAGAATTGTCTACAAATTATATTTTTACCTGAAAACTATGAAGATTTGTACTGAATTAATAAAATAGTTTGTTGGAAATGGAAACAACCAACGCACTAATTGTATTTCATTTTATTATTAAGTTTGTTTTGTGGCGAGAGGCGTATTTTAAATTCCACTTCTGACATTCATCCGACTTAACGCTGTTGTATTTAAACCGAAATATCCCCCTCAATTCTAGCTAGTGTTATGTTAATTATTTCGAGTTCACTTCACATGACATGGCGTAATTCAGTTGAATGATAATATGCATTGTATCAAAATTAATCACTCAAATTAACATGTGCGAATAACATTGGTGTTATAAAGTTGCTGCTGATGAGCTCATGTAAGTAATAAACTAATGTAGGTGCAAAGGACGTGACATTCAGGAATATGTGTTTATATCTGTCTGGTTACCTAGTATCTCTTGATCTCTTTCGCTTATGAATCTCACGTCATATCTTGCTAGAAATATGAGTATTTGGATGTGAATTCTTCTCTCTATTGATAATATGTAACCGCTGTGCATCCAAGGTAGGGTAACTTGCGGAAATTCTCCCTCCTCCCTCCCCCAAAAAACAATGTAAATTTTCAAAACAATTAATGAATTTTCTCGGTCAAACAATGTTTAAAATGTCACACTTGGTCAAACAATGTGAGCCTTTTTAAATCTTCTATAAAATGATTTTGAGCTGAAAATTGCGACACTGAGGGATATATTTTATTTTGTGTTTCTTGTACTACGCGTACTGTTCTTCATAAAATATTAAAAACTGAATTCAGAGTGAACATAACAATATAACAATTCGTAGGACGTATTTTATGGGTATATTCCTGTGTCGTACACGAACACATTTTTGTTCTTAATGCATTTAAATCATTATTCCAAGATATGAATTATCTCACGCAGCCGAAGGATGACCCTTTACTAAATTGTATTTTCGTATATTATCAATTGTAAGTTTTGGAATTCTCATCTCCTCAACGCATTTATTATTGTAATTTAAAATAAAAAGCTGTTAAAACTGGATGTGAAGTAAGTAGCAGATACCATAAGTTTCTGGCATCACTAACTTCAGCGAAGGACGTTCATTCTAATCAACTGAAGTGTATTTGACTTTAGCACAAAGAGATTCATAATTGCCAATAGTACCAGATTTTCATTCCAACGAAGATTGTGGTTTTATAAGAGGCAATAAAATATGCTATTTTCCACTGACGAACTTCGACTTCACTTTTATTGCGTTATACTTCAATGTGAATGACTTAAGGGTCGTTAGTGAGCGTGTAATGCATTACACAGGGAATCTCAAACACTTAATGTTGCCTTGAGAAATGCGATAAGTTAGGCGTCCATGAAAAGACTTTCAGGAATACACGTGTTTTAGCGAGGGCATGTAAGAGTATTTTAAAAGAGTTTTCTTTTAAGAAGTTGATTAAAATCAAAATAGAAATTAATAACTAAAGAAACCAATATTCATATCATTGACACGTATGTTCGTTATAAAATTGAAGCATTATAATTCTTCTTTTGTATTTAATATTAAACTCTAGAATTACACAAGCATCCTTTATTGAGAAACCCATTACAACCATAACATTAACACTTCTTTATAACAATGTATTCAAACTATCATGGGAAAAGCTTCAAAAAATAATTTCTCTACGTTGGAAAATATATTAATCAGTTACTCACTCCGTATGTTATTCTATTGCATTCATTCAGTAAGAATTTTTTCATGGTTAACTAGACCTGAGAATTATCAATGTGTGATGTGATGCCCAAGACTAAAACAGAGAGACATTACCTCTTGTACTGAATAAATTTACACAATAGAGACCTTGAGTCTAATAGGCAAAAGGAACACAGGGCATATTTGAAATAATCTTATTAATGCAGTTTATAGTGTAACTTTACTACAATGTCCCTGTGTCAACAAATAATGCGAGTTCAGAAATTAATTTCAACATGGTTCTAACTGGCGTTTGCATTGGACCAGCAATTCATGAAGAGTCACTCATGGCTGTGACCACTTCAGTTCTTAACCTTTTCACAGAACTCGCAAGATTACGCACGGATAGTCACAAAAACAAATATTAATACAATGTTATAATGTCTTAATATGTACAGACTCTAATTGATTTCATTGCTCAGTTCAATAGACATGCTCCACTTGGCTGTACTGTTGGGAGGTGCAAAGTAGGTGGCTTTCTACCAGCATGAACACCGAATGCATATAAGGATTAGGGCTTTGACGGTTTTGTTTCTTCTTTCTCGTTTTTCAAAACATTTTCTGTTTGGTATTAAATTATTTCCTTATGGTTTTGAGACTTAGGAGATTATTTGTTAAGTTATTTTTGTTATTTTGTGATTAAATGAACATTTTGGGCATTGTGAATACAAATGCCCAACGTCTAAGGTCTTTAGTAGGGGGGGATTTTTATGCCCTAATAAAATCTTGAAATATGATTTTTATGCCATAAAAATATGCATTTATGACCTAAAAATTCTGAAATACCACTTTAATGTGCAGTCAAAATTAACAATATTTAATTTCCTGTGTAAATCTTTCTTGATAAAATTCAGGAGAAACATTCTTGGAATGAAAAGATATATATTCTATGCAAACCTAATTCAATCTACCTTACTTCGCGGGATAAATGATTGAATTATTTCTTGTTGTGTTTTTTCTGCCTGGTTTAACAAATATTATACCAAGAAACACCGTACATTTTCCCAAATATGTTATCATCTAAAGAAAAAAACAAACTGTGACAAACACATTCTAATCAACGAACGCTCACAAATAATAGATTCTATGAAAAGATGAAACGTTTTAAAGTGAAGTCTCTATGTCAACGAAATATGCAAAATATGCTCGTATAATTATAAGAATATGTACCAACAGGAAAAATCGGCCAAATATGCGGTAACATGGTAGTTTACGTACCATCCAATACTAAACGAATGTCAAGGACTTTCAGCTAGCACCATGTCCTGATGCAACGGACAAAAATATGTAAAATCTTAGAAATCCGCTCCGCAGTCATTAGTCTCGGGAGTGTAGAGAACGCGGGAGGTACATGTGACCTTCCCCCGCTGGACGGCGAGAACGGCCGTCGACCTACCCGGCTACTTGCTGAAACCACTATCTTTCAAGGACGAATTTCCCTGGCTTTTCAGATAACCCAGGTAAATTTCTTATTTTTCCATGACAAAGTTTGTGAAGTATTTCAGGGTATTTAAATAAAATATTAAAGCATGACTTTGGTCGATATTAAAACACTGTTATTGACTGAGCCATTTCCCCTTTTGCATTCCAATTTCTCTTGCACTAACTCGTTGTGAGACAGGCAGATGCACTTCGACTCATAACAGTCAATAACTACTTTTCTTTATCTCTCCGGTTGCACGGTAAAAACAAACTAAAATAACAATATTTACTTCGCAAAGGAATTAGCTCATTGCGTTCTCGTACGGGGGGCATAGATCCGTGATGTAGTTCACAAGTAGCTCCGAAACGCGTTTTTATTTGTAGGAATTAAATTTAATTGTGTGTGGAATTAAAGTAGAGTAAAATATTCGGGACATTCAGCAGAAAGAAAAAAAAAACTCTGGCAAGGCAGTGGGACACAAGTCGATTTTCAGGACATATCCCGCTTTTTCAGGACATATGGCAACTATAAGTGAATGGAATTACGCAGGGTTTTCTTCTTCTTCTTCTTCTTCTTCTTCTTCTTCTTCTTCTTCTTCTTCAATTTTCCCTCCCTAGTAGTTCTGGAGAGGCGGAGGATGTATAGTGACGTTACATCATAACATTTAGCCGATTATACGTTTGAAGCAATGGAAGGGCGATATCTGAAATACACTAACTACTGATAACGTATTCCTAATGTACTAACTATTTACAGGAGCCTCTTTAAATTGGCTATAGTTACACATAAGTGTGTGCATTTAAGTTTTCGGAAAAGTTCTTATCAGTAAATCTGTCATCACCCTGTCATCTTTTTCGACGCGTTTACGCTCAGAAATACGTTCCACATACGTAAAGCAGGAGTGGATACACGAGAAGGGAAATGTAGGAAATCCCCCCCCCCCCAAAAAAAAATATTTCAGCAACTATTAATTTTAACTTACCACGAAACGTTCGAAGAAAAATATTTTCGGATTTAAACGAATAAAATCTTATCGCAACATGAGCTGAGTGCAGCTTGAGACATTTTATAAAATCTGTACTATGAACATATTCGACCGAAACATTTTGAATTTCCCCTCCCAAAATTTGTCTCTGGATCTGACCTTGCGTATAGAACACCAAGTTGTGATCTCTTTGAACAAATTTAATTAACTGTACCAATGTTCTTTCTTCTACTTCATTTTTGTGCATTTATTCATTTGTACTTTGTGTATACAAGGGAAATTCTGCGTCCTTCACTACTCGCCTTCCCTAAATATTTCAGTAACTATTAATTTTAATTTGCCACGAAACGTTAAAGAAAAATATATTTTCAGATAATCATCACAACGAATAAAATCTTATCGCAACATGTACCTTGAGACATTTTACAGAATCTGCACTACGAACATATTCAACCGAAACATTTTGAATTTCCCCTCCCAAAATTTGTCTCTGGCTCTGACCTTGCGTATGGAACGCCAAGTTGTGACCTCTTTGAACAAATTTAATTAGTTCTTATCAATGTTATTTTTTCTTCTATTTTATTTCGTACTTTGTGTATACAGGGGAGGCGGTGCGTCCTTCGCCACTGGTCCCGCCAGGCCCTCCGCCGCCGCGCGTGGCCTTGCGTCGCCGTCGCGGTGCCTCGGCCGGCCTGGCCTCGCGCCCTGTGAGTTTCGGCAGCGGTCGCGGGAGGGCGTTGCGCGTCCCCGCGCCTGCGCCGCGCCGGCTGCGGGCTGCGGCGGCGGCGCGCGCCAGTGCTGTGCGGCCGGCGACCTGATCGCAGCCGCGCGCGGTGCCGCCCGAGCGCGCCTCCCGCTGCCGCGCGTTCTCTCTCTCATTCTCCTGCGTGCGCGTGCGTGTCGGCCTTGCTTTGCCTTGCCGTGCTGAGGTGGCATGCCGCTTTGCCCCAGCTTAAATCCCGCCCCCTCTCCGCACGCTCTACACCCCCACGTGCTGCGCCGCAAGTGTCTCACCCGGCGCCGTGTCTTTTCCCGCAACCCCTCGTCGTGGTGCGGTGTCACGCTCCGCCCCGCCAGATAGCGAACACGCCCCGTAACTTCCACCGAGAGCCTGTGCTGTCCTGTCACGCCGATTGTGTGAGTGTGTGTGTGTGCCGCCCTCCCCCCACCCACGGGACGGGCTGTGATTGTGGTGGTTAGCCCCGGCGCGTGTGAAGTGCCTGTAACTACGCCAGTGACGGTTTCCGTGACGTGCCTTTTTTTTCGTGATCGACATGCTGCCGGCGATCGCCGCTCGCTTGTGACTCGTTGTTGACAGCGCCTGCTGACAGCCGCCCCGTGCGGTGTCGTCACCATCATGCCGTGGCTGAACGCGTGTCTCTGCCACCAGGAGAAGAAGCGGCCCAGCATCAGCCCGCCCATTCATCTGCTGCTCAAGGTAAGTGATCGTTTTTTTCCCCCTTCTTCTTCTCCACTACTCTCTCTTTCTAGTTCGCTTGTGTCGGGGAGCCTGTTATGGGGCGTTTAGAAAGGCAATAAAACGCTCTTCATAGTCGTTGTACTCACGCGTCAAGTTGAATATAACAACAGCGGTGCCGGCCGCGGCGAGAACGCATGTGCGTGCTTCATCTGTTTCAACAATCAGGGCGGGCGCGCGCTGTGGTGAGTGGATGGTCCCGCGTTTCAAATTGAACCTCCGTTCCCTTGCGTCAAGAATTAATCACTGAGCCCAGTTTTAATCGGGTTGGTCCGGCATAAATTATATAAATCGAGCGGCAACCACTGCCGCTTGTTCGGGCAATCGAATGCGCCCGCTAGATACTCGCCACTGCCAGGAGGATGGAGAGGGAGTAGAAGGCCTGTGAGAGATTTGAGGCAGTGCTCTGGTCAGAATCTTCTTTCGAGGTGAGATCGACTAGTGAACTTATGACGAATGCAAATGTACGACTGAGGAGATGCTTTTACGTGAAATTTCGTCAAACCCATTTACGATATTTTTTTATTTCTCCATCTCTACGAGATATGAAATACGAGTATTTCGATATCGTTGTTCTTGTGGTTTTTAATACCCTGGTTCTGGATTCTTGCCCATGACCCACCCTAACCTTGAAAGAATTATTGAACGTTATTTAAATTTTAGACCTTACAGGAACCCAACACCAACATCTGTATTGCACCGTGTTCGCCACTAGAGGCGTAGATGTTGTTTATATGATGATACGAAAATTTTAAAATACGTTTAAAATATAATTTTATTATTAGTTCCGTTACATTTCAATCTGCAGAGACGACGTAACTAGAGACTAATTACAGTACAGAGTGGAATTATTTTTATTACACGAGATAATTTAACCCCCTTGCCGACTCCCTGGTGACTGATTGAATGGGTCTGACAGCCTGTCCGTTACAATTGATCTGCTAGAAATCATGACGAAGAGTTCATCTTCCCCAGTTCCCCAAAAGATGCACAATTCTAACATCTGAATTTTGAAATAGTTTCTTCAGTTGCAGAATTCGTAATTTACGTGATTATGGTGTTCTAGTATTTATCCTGATGAGGCGTAAAGCAAAAAAAAAACAAACGAAGTTTGAGTTTAACAATTTTTGAATTATTAATCGCACCTGTAATAGTTAGTTCCATGTCATCCATCTCACATGATAGATATAGATAATTGCTTCAATGCTAGGGTTTTGATTGATTGATTAGTGATTTCCGGCGTGTCAACTGCTGAGATCATTAGTTCCGAAAGTGTAGTGCATGCTTTTTATCGCGGGATATAGTAGTGATCTCACGCTGGATGGTGATATCCGGCGCTGACTACCCGTCGTCTAGCGGGGTTTTCCCTAACTAGGTATCTCCCACACCGGCGGGGCACCGCCTCAGCCGGGGGCAACCTTTAAGTTCCCGTCGGGTCTCCCGGCATGTCCGCTAATGTAGTGCCTGTAAGTAAATGTATGTAAGTAAGCGGTTAGGGTAGGACAAGGAAGAGGAAGGAAAGATGCGCG